ATTCATGACATTTCAAGACAAAAATACTGTGACATACTCCTTTTTATATTGATTTTATTTCTTAAACGGTGATGTTGATATTTCTTCTGTATTACCTATATAATATATGTATGTATTACCTATTTTATATACATATGTATTACCTATATTAGATATATATGCACCACCTATAATAATCTATATGCATATATATATATTTATGTATTACCTATATAATATATATATGCATTACCTATATTGATCTATATGCATTACCTATATCGGTCTATATGTATTATAATCTATATATAATATATATATGCAATATATATATGCATTACCTATATTGATCTATATGCATTACCTATATCGGTCTATATGTATTACTTATATTATATATGATCTATATGCATTACCTATATTGATCTATATGCATTACCTATATTGATCTATATGCACCACCTATAATAATCTATATGCATTACCTATATTGATCTATATGCACCACCTATAATAATCTATATGCATTACCTATATTATATATATTTATGTATTACCTATATAATATATATATGCATTACCTATATTGATCTATATGCATTACCTATATCGGTCTATATGTATTACCTATATTGATCTATATGCATTACCTATATTGATATATATGCATCACCTATATTGATCTATATGCATTACCTATATTGATCTATATGCATCACCTATATTGATCTATATGCATTACCTATATTGATCTATATGCAATACCTATATTGATCTATATGCATTACCTATATAAGACATATATGTATTACATATATGAGATATATATGCATCATATTACATTAGAAAAAACGAATAGTTTGAAGTCTGAAAGGGTTCACATGGTTTTATGGTTTGAGTCGAGGTATTGATTTCCCTTACCTTATCTCAAACTTATCTAATTCTGAAAGTCACATGTAGGAAACATCTAATTTCTTTTGACAAAAAATGATTACAACAAGAAGCCCTACAGACTGCAGAGCCGGAGTATTGTGGTCAACAAAAATATGTGACGTCGCCGATTATAGAGTCGATTCATATTTTCATTTTAACAATTTAGATTTTCCTCCGGCGCATCTTAGGTTCTAAAATGAAGCACTTTAGTATAACTGATGAATCCTAGAGGGACGAAAAAAGTTATATAAGTATCACGTGGCACTGCTCTATCTAATTCTGAATTTGTATTAGACGATGCCATTCGTGACCGCTTGTGTGATTTTTGTACAACTTTCAATGTTTCTTCATATCAAGATTTATGTATGAGTATTATGTGACTGACACAGAGTAATGGCGAGACAAGCATTTCACCCAACTGATGATGTCTTCTAAGCCCGTGATCAATATCTGCATACATATTGCGTTATTTCTATATGTCTATTTAAAGGTACCAGAGTATTATAACCGGCATACTGATGAACCACATCATCTCTTTCCTGTATAGAAGCCACACAACAATTGTCAGATATTCAATGGTAAAGAACATACATATTTGCAAGTGGTATTGTCAAGACATCACCAGCATGCATATATTGTTGCATTTGAAAACAGTGATAAACAATGCATCGATATTTCATATAATGACTAAATCTACTATCTATCAAACACATTGCACAGAGAATGTTGGTTGTGTAGTCGCAAGCTGTAGAGTCACGATAATAATCAATAAGGCGTTCCTATTGTTCTAAGAAGTGTTACGGCGTGGTCAGTAAGCTCAACAGGCGTGAAACCTCAAAATGTTTTGCCTGATTCAAAAGTTGAAAAGTAGATATTATACAAAAAAGACATCGGAGTATAAATATCGTCTGATTTGAATGAAGCAAGATGTCCACCTGTAATTGATTTTGTAAATTTTGGTTAAAACAGGGAGCTTACTCCCACAATTCAATAAAAAATGGTCACCAGATCCGTTAGAGCTACGAGAGTTATTCCCCTTTGCTGTTGGAAAATATAGGTTGTCTTGTACTAAAGTAATGCGAGAACACCACGAGGAAACATGAATCAAAAGGAATTTGACTCGCTCGTGCATAGAAAATAGATAATGATGTATTTTTAATACAGCTTGTAAACTGTACATGTGTACCAAACCAGAAAAAAATGTTTTTTGATGTAGCCTGAAGTAAATTTATGGTCAAAATCATGATCCTATTGGGATGTTTTCTTGTGCTTGATCCTTGCATATTTGTATATATATTTGTGTGTATATATGCATGTTGATTTTTGGTATCACGTGTACCTATCTTGTGGACATTGCATTATTTGTATTGCCCATAAGTTACCTTTCTAGAACATTTTAAAGTTATAAATTAGAACTATATTTTTTTAACAATGATTTGTATTTTACTACACACAAACTATTGATTGATTCATTGATTTATTGATTGATTCATTCATTCATACAAATAGATACATCATCTTATATATGACATACACGTAACTATGACATGTTATAATGCATTCTCACGTTCTAAAGTTGTATTGATTAATATATCTTTATTTGGGATGTATTTGATTTGCAAATTGTGATAGAAACATATTTCGATCACAATATATTGATATCGAATTAGTTTTAATAATCATGTCAGTTTAAATGAACATTCACTTGTGAGTGTATTTAGTAATATGGACGGGATCCATCCCACTAGATAAACTTATTTGAGGTAAAGGAAATTGATTCACAATGCTTTAGCTTCCACAGTGTTCCGAGCGAAGGTTAATCTAAAGTGTGAAATGGATATGTTATTATCATATATGGTACAAAATCTAAAAGATTGAAGATAGCATCAAAACACAAACGTGTAAAATACGCGATATCCACCTGTGCTTCTGCTACTAATCAGTATAGCTTAACTCGCGCTGATAGTGACCCATTCGATAGTGACGTCACAAGTTCAACGAGTGACTGAGGGGATACAGGATGCTCCCTCACGTCGCCAGAACACAGGAGACGTCACGGAAACGATAACTCGTCAATCAATCAATCAATCAATCAATCAATCAATAAGTGCAGCAGCTATCAGTAGCCATGGTATGCAACTTCAGATTACAAATTAATATCACTGAGTTATGAGGAATGAAAGAATGATGAGAAGAACATTATGTAGACGTTATCCATCCACATGAATTTCGCCAAAATCTTTAGACAGTGGTTGCATTGATTATAGTTTCTGAACACAGAATTTATCAAATAAACGAGGGGAACTGATCAGTGAAGTATAAATGTTGTTAATAAAAATTAGTTCTTTGTTTTATATGAAGAATCAGTCAGCAATAATTTTATTTACTCTACAGTGAGACACATCACTCAGAGAACAGTGATACTTCGTACCAGAATTGATCTATCGCAAAGTTATATTCCAGGAGTACCGTTAGGGTCCAAAAATACAGAAATGTATCAATGAAAAATATTTATAAAACAACTTCAAAATTTGTTTCAATTGTTATAGTTTTCTCGGAAATATAAATGAAGTTTTTTTCCATAAACATATAATATACACAAGTTATGATTCAGCGTCTTCGCTCTCTAATCATCCCGATTCACTCCCTTAGTCTACATGGGTATGGAATTTGTGTACAGGTAGATAACACTAGACACACTTGTGTCACGTGCTGTCACGGGAAGAGAACCAATATACCCTTTTTTGCACCTGTGTCAAGGTATGACATCGAAGGGATTTCAGCAGGTGGGCAAGAAGTAACCTGAATTTGAAGTTAGCATTTTGATTAGACTTCCAATTTCCCATTTTACAAAAATGTCCACTGGCATGAAAACTGGAGCAAATATTTCAGGATTAATTTGAAGATATATAAATGAATGAAATACGTTAGCCTGGTCAGATAGTTCAGTGGTCAGATATCTCAGTGGTCAGATACTTCAGTGGTCAGATATCTCAGTTGTCAGATAGTTCCGTGGTCAGATAGTTCAGTGGTCAGATACTTCAGTGGTCAGATATCTCAGTGGTCAGATACTTCAGTGGTCAGATAGCTGAGTGGTCAGATATCTCAGTGGTCAGATAGCTCAGTGGTCAGATAGTTCTGTGATCAGATTGTTAATTGATACATTATGTCATTACTTATCTTTGTGAGACTGTCCATCAGCAAATAATAGTCCTTTTTATTGTGTTAAGTTCAAATGATAAAAACTACTATACTCAAATTTTCGTGTTTGGTTTTCAAAATTATTTGCAGCAAGCACATTGTTAAGATAGGGTAAGGAGTAACATTGGCATGTACATTCGTAAGTGAAGGTGTTTTATGAACACTAAAATTTACAAGGACTACATTTCCTTATGATCAGCAACACTTTGTGTGTTAAACTGTATTCAATTCAAAATAAGTATTAATCGAGAGAGCTAGTGTTGTGAACTAAACATATTTTCGTGTGCAGATCAGTATTGTTTTTAGGACAAATATAGAATAACCCTGGAACAAGAATGTTGTAATGATATTCTGCAATGAATATAAAATTGTCTTCATAATTCAGTTAATCTGCGATTTGTTTTCTAGTGTGGGTGCAATGTCTTCATAATAAGACAGACGCAGGGATATTAAATCCAGCACCATCTCTAAATACCGTTTCATTAAAATGACCTGTAACCCGAAACTCTGGAAAATCAAATTATACTGACCAAATTGTTGGTTAGTCCCTACCACCAATTCTGGCTTGATGGTTTCGTTCATGTGACATTGTTTATTTGGATAAACCTAGATTTCATAGCGAGTATTTGTGATGGACAAACTAACGCTTATCCTGGTCTCATTCTCCTTGTTGTTGTCAAACGACTCTGTTTAACTCTTTCGTTTGTTCATATTGTGCTCTAGTTTCATCTAAGTTGAGTTTGGATTATGGTGTTATTGCCATGCCATGTTTTTCTAGCTGAACATTATGCAGAATATCTTGTTAATTACACAGAACTCGTAACCTTCGTCGAATTCCTCGCATCGCATATACAATCATGTCGCACTCGACCTCAGACAAACAAAAATTCTTTGAAAAATAGTTTATTTCATATGATAATCATTACATTTCATATTTGCTATTAACATTTCACTTAAGGCCTTTACTTAACACGACAGAAACAAATAATCCACGTGGGACATTGCGAATGATCATCACAGCAACGAGTAAAACGAAAACCGGAAAGCATGAAGCATGAATATGATCACGTGGTATAGTTATAAACATTATGTATTTACCACATAATTGATTTGCCTGAAAACATTCTAAAGTCGATCTGTCTGAAGTAAAATAACATTAAATACAGTTACCGAAAGCTCCTCAATTATTGGAACATGTGCAAAATAAATCACATCACAGGTAACAAAACCTTGGAACACATTTGCTATTGCATGCATCGCTTATGTGACTAAATGTCATTCCACTTAACACCTTATCGGCGTATATATCTTCTAAAGTGATTGTGAAATTACTATTAACGGTTATAAATGTACGTCAAATTAAACACTAGGCAAGGCATGCCACTGTAAGCAAAACATATAAAATTCCGAAATCATGTTACTATTTAAAGCGATATCAGTACTTGTGAATTATCACGTGATGAGTAACGGATAATTCTGACAGAGAGTAAATTGTTACGGTGGAAGAACAAGTCTGTCATATTGTTGCTTTTACGTAAATTTCTATATGTTTCATGTGACTTTCATGTAGCTTAATCATGCTTTTCTAAAGCTATCCCAGGATTTCAAAATCTTATAATGATATAAATGTGTACAATGTTTGTTTAAATATGATGATATTGTTTTCATATTAAGAGCGATAAGCTGAACTACGACAACCCCCTGCCAAGCTGTCATGATCCTAATGTTATGTTTTCGCTGATATTCCAGTAATGACGTTTTCATATTATATATATAATAAATGCAATTTTAGATAATTTTCCTATCATAAATAGTTTGCATTCCGTTTGAAGGAGAAAATAAGATAATCACAGTTTTGTTTTTATAATAACACGTTTAGAAGTTTTTATCACAGAGTTTAAAGATCCTCCCATACCTTTACATCGGATGACATTATCCACAATCTACAGTAGTAGGCAATTCTATTCAACCTATGAAATTAATACAAAAACACATTTATAAAGACAGAAATGAATATCACATAGCATGAAATAACAATTTGGCCTGCACCGTTTTCTCCCTGAGACTGGTATGCTTGGAGAGTGTCTGTGTGACTTCCATATATTATACGATGGTTCAAATCCTGCACAGGCCGGAAGTCATCTGTAAGGTCAAGGTCTGGCTCATCCGGGTAGTTTTTCTTCACTTTATGGCGGAATTGTTGTAACTGTGTATGCAAGGCAATGCTTATAAAAAATCATACTTTTTTGTTAAAGTAATACATGTCCATATATGATCAACATAAAACCGAACTCCTAGGTTATTGTATAAAAGACAATAACAGCCTTACACATTTAGAAATTACTTATAATTAACCCATATTACAAATAAAACTACATCACATCAGTTTGGACTTTCAATTGGAGTTACGTAACTATAACTGTAAATATGGGCAGCTTTACACCAAGCTGTATGAAATCAATTTCTTCGTTTTTTTATTTTTCCCTTTCTGGATAGCAACCTTCCTGTACACCCAACCTATGATGCTAACATTTCGCAGTTGATTCGACATTCAATATCACGATGTTCGAACGAGATATCGTCAAATGACAGAACAAATCCTAACAATTGTTTCAAGAGATACAGGTTGATGAAAACTTTGGGAAAGTCTTACGGTCATCATACTGCTTGGCTGTCACACAGATGACGAAATATATTACCTGGTGTTCTGCTATTTCGATGGGTTCTCTAAACACAGTCCAGATTACAGTTTCGTAGCACGGAGGAGTGGTGAGACTTCCCCGGTACCGATAATACAAGTCCAAGTTATTGGCCATCAGTTGACGCAGAGGAATTGTAGGAATATTGACATGGTCATCTGAAAACAAGTGTTTTCATTTTTAATCGATATGAAAAGAATTTTCCCCGTGAATTTAAACACACTATTAAAATTGTTAGAAAAAGGCATTTTTCAAGCAAGCAAATGCTTTTTTTTTAAATGTAAGTAAAATATTCCAATCATTTAATGATAAAGTGTTTAGCGCGTCAATAGATCATTGTATTTATTTATCTATGTCATCCAGATCTCTAATTATTAAAACCTTATTCCATTGATGATATATTGTACTACATTGTAGTTAATTACAAAATAATCAGTACACAATATGGAGCATCATAATGCCTTTCCGCTGCTCCTCGGGAATTAAGTTGAGAGTATCTTCAAAAATTGTCCACACAACGTTTTACTTATTTATTTAGTCTTCCGAAGTAAAACTATTACATAAGATTGATATAGTTTATTCCACTAATAAATTGATAAGAATTGTAAAAACATCCCCATTGTTTGTTTAGCTTATGATTGCATAATGATTAAAATGTTTCAAAAACAAACATTTACAAAAAAGGGGGAAAATTTTCAAAACATTGCTTTTGATATGGATCTTGTTCTATTCCATAAACTTTGTAATCACCGTTTTACCTATCTAGTTGCTCTCATTTATGTAATCTTCATTGTCTGTATCTGTAAAAGTTCATTAATCTATGCCTACCTTTATGAGTTATTTCATCAAAATGTCCTAAAATGTCATCAAAGTGTCGATTATGTCTTCCAACCTAAAATAAGAATAACGACAGAATTATCATTTGATTTAGGTAAAGTTAGGCAACGACAATTTGTATACTAATATTAGAGTAGATATATATATATTCCAATGAATGATCAATATATGTTGAGCGAGAGATCATTGATGAAAACAATTTGTGATTGGCGTTCACCCTTCAGGATAAAGTAGTTATTCATCTCTCATGTCAAAGCGACCTACGTGTTCTCTTATACTTACTTTAAAGAAGAAACCAAGAACCATAAGACCATTGTCCTTATCCATGGCGTCTTTTATGCTGTTGTATTTGTCATGGTAATGAACGATGTGCATCTGTAAATAATCTATAGTATTAATATAATGTTCTTTATTTAGAAATAACTTAAATATAAAACCTATGTATGTCAAACGTTATTATTTATATGAAGCCATTAACTTAAAATGAAATATTGAACTTGCAGTGTTAGATGTGTGTTTTAAAACAACATAAGCATTGTCGGATACTATAAAAAATCAAGTTATCTGTAACGACAAATGTCTTGATAATTTTAACTTACAACAATGGAAAAGCAAATTATGACACTCCAAGATAAAACCAGCGATATGGCTTTTACCGAGTAATTCGTTATAATGTTTTGGTCGAAAAAAACAATATTTGTCTTAGTCATTTACTGAAATATCCCTAGCGACACATCATACTATCTTCATCTTATTAAATGTAAATGATTTACCTCCATCGGGAAGTTCTTGTGGTCGAGATTGTGTTCAGACCCACGTTTGTCCTCTGCTCCCCAGTGGAAGTGGAACTGTCCGGCCTTGTATACACCTGGTAGTGCGCCGCCTTTGACGGTGAGCGACTGACCCGTCAGGTCAACTCGAACTGACGACAAAACAAGTAATATTCAAATTCAGCAATTTATTTTACGTTAATGAATATTGGTGATATTTCAAGCAACAATTTAGGCAGACGAGAGGTTTTTTTTTTATGAACATGAGCCATGTTGAAAGCACAGTAGAAAATCACACGTGACTCTAAGGTATTTAGGTCCCTTGAAGAGCAATAGCAATGACATCTGTATGACGTTAGTGTATGTAAATATACCTGTATGTCCATTGTTGGTTAGACTCATGTTGACCTCTGACACACTGTTATAACCGTCTAACTGCATTCCTTTCAGTGCCTCGTCATACACTACAAGCGTTGTTTCGATACTGACCGGAGACTGGCTCCTTCCGCCGCATTTTGGGTAATTTTTATGCCAGTGCTCTGGGCCTGTAAAGCAATACTAAAGGATTTCAACTTGCATTCCTTGACATAATCACACCCATAGAAGAAAGAATAATTAAACCACCAATCCAATCAGCACAAGATTAAAATTTACGGAGGCTGCATAAGCTTATTGTCAGATCGGTGGTGTCGTCGTTCATAACTCACAAAAACGTACTGTCACGTTGAATTGGTAGTATAATGGCAAAAATATGTGCTTTATATATACAGTGTATCAACACATTGTCGCACAAGAGGAAGATTTTCACAAAGTTATGTAATATTGCAATGATTCGTATAATGTGGTACTTACCAATATCTCCCTCATAGTCCCATTCATTTCCTGCAAAATGAAAAGAAAGACATTTGAATAAACTTGTCATTTCTGAAAATAAATCGACCAGAACTCAAGAGTGTAGTTATTGTTCTGCAATGTGCTAGGAAATAAAAGCGGAACGCAATTTTGTGCTCCGTTCAAGTAACGTGGATGTGTTTAGAAATTACAATAATGTATTGAATTTGTATTGTATCTTACAGGTACATTCTGGAAAGTCACCAATATTACAAGCGTTGTAACACACATACACAATGACAATAAAATATTCGGTAAGATTACCAAAATATGAGTCAAATGTAATGAAAATCGTTGATATCAGCACCGTATGTCACTTTCATTTATGACGTGTGTGTGAAAATAACGACGTTTAAAATAAAAGCACACCTGTACAAACACAATGTCAACATTCATACACATGTATAAACAACATGTAATGTCAACATACAAAATACAACACTTCATTTACAACATTTTTAATGCAAGTGTGCATCACCAGCTTAGCAAAGATACGTGTTTTATCAGTAAACCATCAGCATAGCAAAACAATGGAAGGGTTCGTTCTTTTAACAATTTGAAACTTTGACTGAAAATCATTTCAGTACACAAAGTATTGCGTTAAGCTATGACTGTACAGTTTCTGTATCGCGTTTACCTGTCATTGCTGTGAATTTGATGCTAGTTTTATGTGTTAAAACGTGACAATGCGCTAAAATTTGATAGCGCTAACATGAGTACGTTTAAAGTATACTAAACCCAATAGAGGTGTATGTAAATAGTTTTTGTCTTATATACGAAAGATGTGATATATACAAACTAGATATTCAAATCAAAAGTGACAGGACAAAATACAAAAATCGCTGTATGAGGTTAAAACCTTTTAATACCATAACACCATCCATAGTTAATTGAATGAACGCACGAGCATATACAATGAACCAGGCCACACCCATCCCCTCATCTACATACGTATTGTTGGGTACAATATTGGTCAATTAAAAGAAAAAATCAGTAGTGATATACAGGTCTCGGTTGGTCCCTGTGTATAAAAACAATTTTGGCGTACGGAGCAGGCTGGAAAGTAATCAGCTTATACGTTATGCTTAATTACTCGAACAAAGAGTAAGTGTTCATCTTTTACGTCCAGTTAGGTTATTTAACGAAGTTTTAGCCTAGTCGCTTCAAATAATGACAAAGTGTGACGATCTTTTTCACTTATCAAAGGGCACAGAGGAACCCATTTCCAATTCAAATTTCCAGACACAATACTGATTGCTTTTTATCAGATCCATTTGAGTGCGGCATTATTGATATCTTTCTGATCATATGTGTTAACGACATTTAGGAGAACATAACATATGTACATATCTTTGTAAGTTCGACATTAAACATAAAGTATATGTACATGTACATAAAGCAAGGACAGAGAGTGCTTGGCATAGTGTTTGTTTTTAACCAAAGAACTATTAGAACGTGTTAATAAAAATACTTGATGGTTTCTTTAGCCAGTTCGATAACTCATATCGAATAATTTACATGTACTTCAAAATCATCAGATCATTAATGGTTTCTTTTTTGATATACCTATATACTTCGGCAAAACAGCACAGATAACAGGTAACAGATATATAATACTTGAATTGAACATTTCTATAGTATAAACCTTCTTGGAATGTGAATGTAGCTGTAAACAGTGTTTAATGACTATTTTATTCAAAACAGATATTAAGAAAAAAAAATCAGTTGATATTTTTTATTTAATTTAAAATAGCATGAATGTTTAATACCAGTGTTATATGAAGCTATGTCTAATTATATTTACCAAATTGATAATCAGAATCCTCTAATTACAAAATAAGCCTAAAGCTGATCTATCAAAAGAAACATGTAGAACGATCAGTAAAAAGACGGAGAGCAAAGGCAATCAGTTACTTTGTTAATTCTGTCAAACGCATATGTTAACCACTCCAGGAAATTACATAGTTATTGTATCAAAATGTATCAGATGCTAACAGTTATGTAATAGCCACGCTTACGCATGTTTAACTCAGTTCAGCAAATTGTAAAATCAATTTCTCTGTACAATCTGTCAGGGAGAAGATGGAAAGCCACCGTTATTACATCTGTAATTACCGGACATTGTAATGTAATTCTACGATCAATCTTTTCTTATAAATGATGTTTACAAATCAAAATGAGAAAGAAATAATTTTTTAAAAATATTTAATTATGATGTGCTTTTTATGCAGTTACCGTCTATATATATGTGGTAGCACATGCGCAATCGATGATTGCATATTATTGCATATTGTCCACTGCTAAGTTTATTAAACATATTCTATAATTTTTAGATTCTAAAATCTGAGAAACAATCATATAAATCTATATAAATCACTCTTGTTGTCCCAGATGACAATGCTCCATAGGTGATTGTTATACTAAAGGCAAGTATCGTCCATATCTATTTATGCCAGACAGAGAAATCGGACGGCAGTGGTTAGTGCGTTATTAATATACCACCCGAGAGCCTATGTTTAGTGCTCTGTTTCTCCCCTATATCTGTAACCATTTAATGAGTGAATTAGATCTGTAAGGTTACATTAGATCATTTATTTGCTCTGCGCTTTAACGTCATTGCAACAGCCATGCTCCTTTCTAGACTGTGACCATGGATGATAGAATCTTAAACGTGTGCCCTTGTCTTAATTCCACAAAATTTAATCCAATTGAAAATTGATACCGTGCACTATAAATAATGACAATAAAACCATTACATTATTTTAATTATAAAAAAAACAAATATAAATATTGACATGTCAGCAAAATCTTAATTCACTTTCAAATTCGATGAAGCTGAGGCAAAATATAAACAAAAGAGAGATTTTCATAATAACCATTAGGAAAATACATTCATCAGTCATTTTATAGATATATATATATTACAGTAGGAAATGTTCTCTGAAAAGACGATTAAGAGTTCATAAATGCCAAAAACAAACTCGCCCGTGGTCATTATATATTGATATATCAATACACAGCTAGTCTATTCATTGTGTCACTAAGTTTGTATGTGTTTTACATTTTATCCATGATACACTGTTTGAATTAAGATATGTCAGTATTAACTTTTTTTATTTATACATACATATTAATGCAAGATTACCACACATCACATTACTAAACATAGATAAGGTTACGGACATCATAAAAGTCATAAAAATAGATATTTATCCAATCAATGAAATATGGATTTATTTCAGAAACATTCTGTGTTACTATATATACATTTAGCTTTTTTTGGAAACAATATAATATCACAAATAGCGTTCGGTCGTCAACGGATGTAGTAATGAATGTATTATTTCCCCGAGGTTAGGAACAATTTTCTCGGACAATCAGCTGTGCTATCACCTATATATAGTATATCACGAAGGCATTAGACCGTGAACGAGTACTCATCATCATATCACCACCTGTCTTTCACGTGGTAAATGTCTATAGCCCACGGTTCTATGATAACACAATTCACTTTTGGATATTCTGAAAAACTGAATGTTGATGCATGTGAACAGAAATGTGAGATACTTCGATATGTACATTGCTGATCTTTCTTGGTTGATGTATGTTAAATGTTTTGAAACGAAATCTTTCTCTTTTTTACAGAGGGTGTTTTAAACGGTACCGGCAAAAACTATGAAATTGGTTGTGTTCATACGATATGAAATGTGAAACATACAGATAACTGTAATAAAATAAGACGGAATACAATACAGGATCAATAATTGATATCGGGCAGATCTTTTTAAAGAAATTCAAAGAAACATAAGGAGAACTCGGTAATTCAAGCTTAAACCATATTAAAGATATTTAGTTTATTGGCAAAAGAATTAAAAAAAGAAAACGCACGCGCATATTATATGTAATATTTTTGTGGACGTTTTTTTCTTGGAGGATTTACAAAATGGAATCTTTCTATTTTGTTTAGGTTATCGGAAAATAGCTGTAAATGACATTATATATAAAAATAACTTTATCTATAAATTTCTAATTCAAGTAAAAGAAACATACATTTCTTACATTTTTATCGCATATGAAATTGAAACGATTCTAAGATTATGTTAATCATCTAATTTATATCCTTGCAAACATTCATAAGAACAGCTTTGTCTTTGGTGTCGACACAACGAATACCATATCAAAAAATGTATGACGACGTGCCGCCAAACAACACAATCCTTGATTCGCTACGGCGTATGACACGTGTGTCATATCATAAAATATTTGAAAGGTGTTATTACACTGACAGCAAGGTATACACAATAAAATGAAGTAACCAAACGTCATATCGCCATAGAATGGATCATTTGAAGGTGTGTGAATAATAAGCACTCGGACAACTCTTTCAACGAAACGAATTAAATACAGTCCTGGAGCTAGACGGAATCACATACAAAAACGGTTTATTGTATACCGTACCAAGAATATACAAAAATATCTAATAATATTATATGTACGAAATTGTGAGACATTGTATCCGATCCATCTGGTCGTTGACATTAAGACATGTTTATTTCACCGGTATCATGTATTCTTTAACAGAACAGCTAAGCAGTTTGTATACATTGATCAAATTGACTTTAAAACCAATATTTCAGATCTTGTATAACTTAGCACAGGGAAAGTGATGGTTGTTTCTGCATTGTAAACTCTAGCAAATAAAAAAAAAACCTTAAGGACGAAATGTAAAACATATACTAGTTGCCCATATGCTTATCAATATCACACGAAGTCTTTTCAAATGTTGGTAGCATCTGTAAATAAAACACTTAATGAAGATTGTATTTTCCTATACAGCAATTGTTACAAATCATAAAGCTGGGTTTAATCAAGTTTTAAAATACACATTCATCACAGCTATTTCCGTTCCTTGCTGTCATTTATACTGAACACAAATGATTCATTTTTCCCGTCCATTCATTAACTTATTCATATATTAAAAACATCAATAA